TACACTAGGGAGATGGGGTTGGTTTCCTTCGGGGCCTGTTGCACAAGCATTTGTTAAGCGCCTACTGCACACCAGGCTCAGATACTGAGTGACAAAAGGCTCAGTCTGATTTCTAGTTCCTCCACCAGAGGACAAAAGTTTGGTGTCACAAGGATAAGGCAAGGCTCAATAAGATAAAGGAGGTGAAAACATTCAGAAAGCACACGTACATACACAAGGTTTAGGTCTGGGGCGTATCTCCCCTCCACTCCGTCCCCTGCCTGGGTTGGTAGGTCACATGTCTGATTGCCTCCCCTTCTGACACTTCTCCTGGGTCATGACCTGGTCCCAGCACGACCTCCCTCAAACACCAGCACAGGGCAGACAGCATCACTCTGAGACACACAATTAACAGTAATAACGTCAGTAGGAGGTCTGACTGTGGCAGCAGCTGCCCACAGCCAGGTACTCTGCGTGAGCACCTGTTACGCTCCGGGCCCTCTCCTGCATGTCTGCACCTTCTCTGTACGGGCTCAGCCATGGTGTCCTCGCTCCTGCTCTGACCCTCTGCTGAAAACAGGCCAGCTGTGTGATCAGGGCAACGGAGTACAGAAATAAACCCTCACCGTTTATGGTGAACTGATTTTTTACAAAGGTGCAGAGGCAGCTGGATGGGACAAGAATAGTCTTCTCAACAAATGATAATGAAATAATTCAATATCCATATGCAAAAAAAGACCTCATAGTTTTACCTGGAACTACACATGAAAACATTACCTCAATATGGATCACAGTGCTTGCTTCGGCAGCACATATGAAAATTGGAACTAAATGGACCACAGACCCAAATGCATGAACTGAAACTGTAAAACTTCTGAGGAAAAAACATAGAAAATCTTTGTTACCTTGGCCTAGGCAAAGATCTCCTAGATATAACTCCAAAAACATTAACCACTAAAAAAAACTGATAAATTGAACTTAACCAAAATTTAAAAACCTTTGATCCTCAAAAGACACCATTAAGAAAAATGAAGACAGGGCGCCTGGGTGGCTCAGTTGGTTGGGCGACTGCCTTCGGCTCAGGTCATGATCCTGGAGTCCCGGGATCAAGTCCCGCATCGGGCTCCCTGCTCGGCGGGGAGTCTGCTTCTCCCTCTGACCCTCCTCCCTCTCATGCTCTCTGTCTCTCCTTCTTTCTCTTGCAAATAAATAAAATCTTTAAAAAAAAAAAAAAAAGAAAAGAAAAATGAAGACAAGTCACAGACTAGGAAAAAATATTACCAAATCACAGAGCTGATAAAGGAATTGTATCATTGTACCCAGAATAAGGAACTGTTACAACTCAGTAAGAAGACAAACAATCCAATCTTTAAAAAATGCACAAAAGAGAAAAACAGATGTCTGGCACATGTGCTCATGCTGCAGGCTCTCTCCTCTCTCCCTCTCTCTCTCTCTCTCTCTCTCTCTGTCTCTCTCACACACACACACACAGTATACAAATGGCTAATAAGCACGTGAAAAGGTGTTCCACATCAATCAGGGAAATGCAAATCAAAACCACAATGAGATACCACCTCACACCCACAAGGATAGTTATAATGAAAAAGGCAGGGCGCCTGGGTGGCTCAGTTGGTTAAGCAACTGCCTTCGGCTCAGGTCATGATCCTGGAGTCCTGGGATCGAGTCCCGCACCGGGCTCCCTGCTCAGCAGGGAGTCTGCTTCTCCCTCTCCTGCTCCCCCCTCTTGTGCTCTTTCTCTCTCTCACTCTCTCTCTCAAATAAATAAATAAATAAAATCTTTAAAAAAAAAAAAAAGAAAAAGGCAAAGGAGCACCTGGCTGACTCAGTAAGTACAGCACACGGCTCTTGATCTCAGGGTTGTGAGTTCAAGCCCCATATTGGGCGTAGAGCCTATTAAAAAAAAAAAAAGGTAGACAATAATAAGTGTTGGCAAGGATGTGGAGCACTGGAACCCTCACACACTGCTGATGGGAATGTAAAATGAAACAGACACTATGCAAACAGTCTGGCAGTTCATCAAAAGGTCAAGCATAGAGTCACCATCTGACCCAGCAATTCCTCTCCTAGGTGTATACTAAAGAGAATTGAAAAGAGCCACACAAACGTGCAGTGTTCGTAGCAACATTATTCATTATAGCCAAAAAGTGGAAACAACCCAAATGTTAACTGGTAAATAAATAAAATGTATGGTATCTGTTACAACATGGATGAATTTGAAAGAAATTGTTCCAAGTACAAGAAGCCAGACACAAGAGAGACTACATGTTGAATGATTCCTTTTATATGAAGTGTCCAGAGAGGGCACATTTTTAAAGACAGAAAGCAGGTCAGAGTAATGGGGTGGGGGTCAGGTGGAGGCACAGACTGACTGCAAATAGGCACAAGGAAACTTTGGAGGGTGCTGGAAATGTCTAAAACCTGACTGTGGTGATGGCTGCACAGTTCTATACATTTACTGAAAGTCAACAAATCATATGTTTACAATGGATGCGTTGTATGGCACACAATTTATATCTCAATAAAGCCACTTAAAACGTAAAATGAATAAGTAAATACAATGAAAACAAAGCAAATGTTATTAAATTTGAACTAGGAACCTTTGCAGTACATGCTGAAAGTTCCACAAGCAAAAGAAAGAGATCTTAGAAGTTCCCAACATCAAAAAAAAGGTGTAGAGAGGAGGGTGTTAACTCACCCTATATTGTGGTGATCATCTTTCCAAGTGTACACATATCAAATCATTAGGGTATACACATTAAACTTGCACAACATTATATGTCAATTACGTCTCAATAAAACTGAAAGGGATTTGACAGTATTATGTATGTGTTAAAAAATATTAACATCCAATCATTTTTCTCTCCTTGATATTATCAATAAAATTAACAGAGACCTGAAAAGATAACTTTCTCATCAAGTGTTTGAAGGTCCATGGGGCCATCCCTTAAAAATCATCTGGAACTCCCCTGGGGTCCCCAGTCCACCCCTGGGGAAACATAGGAAAGTACTACTAAGGTCATTTCTCAGACTGACCCTCCTCCCTGAGCAAGGTGGCCCGAGAGACAAGGAAGCTGAGGGGACAGCTTTCAGACCGGACAGGTCCAGGAGAGCACTGCTGTGGTGCTCTAAGGTAGCCTATGACATTCATCTTGGGTGACAGACCCAATCGATTAGTTGTGGCTGACCAGGGTGTTTATTAATGGATTCTGAAACCAAGTCCAGGCTTGGTGACAAAGAGTGTCCTGAATGATTAGCAAGGTCTACCACACAGAATCTGGTGAAAGTGGTGTTATAAAGGCCTTGTATTTGTGGTTTTGTCCAAACACCCATGTGAAGGGACATCAAGTGTGTCCTAGTCCCAGGTTATACAGGAAATGCCACATAAAACTTTGATATCTCTGCCATGCCACTGCTAGCAGCTATCAGGGTCTGAATTGGCCACCTAATTTCCTTTTTAAGCCATTACAGCAATTAATATTTTATGAAGACTTTCGGTGCCAGGCACTATTCTGAGCACTGTTCAAGGATCAACGCATTGTACAGATGAGGAAACTGTGACCCAGGGGGCAGAGCAACTTGCCTAGAGTCACTCAGCCAAAGACAGGCTGGAAGAACTTCAGAGATGGAAGAGAATGAATTCAAACAACTGCTTCAATCAGATCTGGGGATGTCAGCCCACTGGCCTCCAAGTGTCCCCACACCAGGCTGGGCTGCCCTGCACTTGTGCCTGGGATACAAGCAGGCAACAGTGCCTTCTGCCCACTCTGACTGTTCCAAAAACTGTGCTCGTCTCCACCCCTCTATTTTCCGAGACACTCTCCCTCTTGGGCTTCCAAAATCAGGGCAAAGCAGTTCTCAAATTTGAGTGGACATGAGACTCACTTGAGAAATGGGTTTAAATGCAGCTTCCTAGGCCCCAGCAGGTCTGAGGCAGGGCCTGGAAAATACATGTTTAACAAGCTTCCCACCAGTGGCAGTGGGTGGTCCTGGACTACACTGGAAGGAAACCTGGCCTGGTGGGTGTCCCAGGGCCAATTGTGAGGTCTAGGAGACCACCATATCAGATCAGATTCTTCAGAAGCCAGGATCAGGAGACCCAACCTCAAAGTCCCCCTCATGTCCAAATTCTCTGTCCTTTTTCTTCTTTTCTTTCCATGGCAAATGACCCCCCATGAGGAGATGGAGAGAGAGGAACCCAAGCTAAAGTTCTGGATCAGGCCACACTCTTTAGGGCCAGCAAAACAGTGGGAACAAGTCGACTGGGAGTCGGATTTGTGGTCCTGCTCCCAGAGGCACTTCCATCCAGTTCTGAGACCTTGGAAAAGTCACTTTCTCGCTGGTGTCTCAGGTCTCCCTGCCACAAAAAAAGAGACCAGAGAACCAGGTAGGTCCCCTCCAACCAGTCTCCTGTTCTCCAGCAAGGACCCCATTGATCATAATCTCCTTGGGCCCAGCGTCACTGCCCCTACCCACCCACCATTCACAGGCACCAGGAGGTCACCAGAGAGCTCAGCTTCTGTCCAGATGGCGTGGCGAGTGTTCAGTACCATTGGCCGGGTCGTCACACTAAGCCACCAAAGAAAACCAAAACTGGCGATGGTGTGAAGTCAATCCCTTTGACAATGACCACTTTGTAAGCACAAGCGAAGCGCCGGGCACCGTGCTGACCCCTCGCCAGCGTCGGGCCACGAACCTCACCCCCGCCCTGCGGTTTCCTACTCAGTCTCCCCTGTGTGCGGACGAGGGAGCTGAGGCGTGCGCGGGCGAAATGACTGACCCAAGGTCACCCCGCCGGGACGGGGCAGGCAGCCCGGGGCCCCACCCACGGTCTGAGTGGAGGTCGCGCGGAGCCCCAGGCCGGGAGACGCAGGGAGGGCCAGGGGCCTAGCAGAGCCCACCGCACCCTCTGCGGGGCGCACCGCGCGGGCGCGCCCTGCCCACCCCGCGTTCCGCCCCAGGCCTCGCCCTGCTGCGCGCCCGGGGCCGCGCCTGCCGCTCACCGGACTTCGGCGGGTAGCGATAGGCCGAGTTCGCCTGGATGTCGATGTCCTCCACGCCCGCGATGCGGCGGCTCAGGATGGAGCCCATGGTGCGCGGCAAGCCGGGCCGGGCCGGGGCCGGGACGCGGGCGGCGGCGGCGTCCTCACGCGGACATGGCCCGAACCAGGCCACACGGACACTCGCCCACAGCCGCGGGCTCCTCGGCCTCCAAGGCCCAACCCCCAGCTCGGCCGGGGCCCCGACGCCACGGCGGCCCTCCGCCCCCCGGGCCCGAGGCACCTCGGGAAATGCAGTCCCCTCGCCGCCGACGGCGACGGGCTGCGACGCAGGAAGCCCACCAAAGAACTACATGTCCCAGGATGCCCTTCGCCGCGGCCCAGTGAAGACGCTGACCAGGACTCCGGGACAAACCAAATGGACCTGAATCCAGAGGGAAGGAACCATCACCCACACCACAAACTGACTTTTCCTCTGCATTGCAAACACGTCACTAACATCCTAACTCTTTAGTCTCCTGATAATCTGTCCATATATAGATTCTTATAGGAACCCAGCCCCTTCCATTTACCCCCTCTCTAAAATATCTCCCTGAGCCACAATGGTTCTCCCCACTTCCCAGGGTCGATCTCCTGCCCCGTCCAGAAGAGGGCACACCTTTACCTGCCACCCGGCAATAGCTGGGATGGAACCCAAGCCGAGTAGGAGTTGGGGTTCACAGGAGAAGCTAAGCGCTTCTTTTAGCCTTTTCCAGGACTCAAGGCTTCTCTTTGGCTCCACGTCCAGAACAATTACTTTGAAGACATAATTTTACAGCCCCACAGACCTCTCCCCATTTTACACATAGAGAAACTGAGGCACAAGGGACGGCTGCATATGAGGTGCTGAAGGCACGTTTAAAAAATTGGTCAGGATTAAAGGCTTGCAGGTTGCAATGTACTTTCCTGGCTTTTGATTCACATAAAATTCTGTAAGTAGGCCAAGTGGAGATTGTTTTCACCTACTCTTCAGTTGAGAAACTGGGGTTCCAAGAAGAAAGTGGCTTCCCAAGGCAAGCCTGCTCTACCAGGAAAGCAGCTGGGGAGGGCGCAGCTGGCGAAGGGTCTCAAATGATAAATGCACCACATTCCACATTAAAACGAGTCCTGCCCCTCAGGAGGCCAGAGTCCAGAACACAACCTTCTATTGTCAGGGAACCTGGGAAGCCAAAATTAATAAGAGGTGAAAGATTTATGTGCTTATGAGTAGAGTCTAGGTCTTGGAGGCGTCTGATTAAATCTCAGCTTTACAATCAAGATCCCCATTTACTGAGCACCTACTATGTGCCAGACATCGTGTTAAGACATAGTCTCTTTTGGGCGCCTGGGTGGCTCAGTTGGTTAAGCGACTGCCTTCGGCTCAGGTCATGATCCTGGAGTCCCGGGATCGAGTCCCGCGTCGGGCTCTCTGCTTGGCAGGGAGTCTGCTTCTCCCTCTGACCCTCCCCCTCTCATGCTCTCTCTCTCTCAAATAAATAAATAAAATCTTTAAAAAAAAAAAAGACATAGTCTCTTTTTTTTTTTTTAAAGATTTTATTTATTTGACAGAGAGAGACACAGCGAGAGAGGGAACACAAGCAGGGGGAGTGGGAGAGGGAGAAGCAGGCTTCCCACGGAGCAGGGAGCCCGATGTGGGGCTCGATCCCTGGACCCTGGGACCATGACCTGAGCCGAAGGCAGACCCTTAAGGACTGAGCCACCCAGGCGCCCCCTCTCATTTAATTTTCTGATGTAGCTTTTATTTTCATCCCCAATTCATGAAAAAAGGAAAGTGAAGCTAGAAGAAGTGAAGTACCCCACTTAGGCTGCAGTAGATAAACAGTAATGAAGTTACTGCCATACTCCCCGGCCACCCCAGAGGCAGAAACATCCCGATGTGCTAAGTTTCATGTCCCTTGCCACCAGATGGGCCTGAAGACACCCCCCCCCCCACCGTGTGATCTTTCTTCCCTTATCTTTATTAAGTCACATAACATTTGTGTGTATACACACATACATATACCAACACTGAATTCAATTTACTGGCCTCCCTGCTTGGGGGGGAGGAAAGGAGAGTAGGACAGACCCTGATGTTCTCATTGAAAAACAACCCTAGGAGCGTGTCCTTTCTATAGATCCTGGGCCAGGGCAGTCGTTTCCATGGGCTGGGTGTTTGATTAAACATTCCTCTTAATAGAGCTTTGGACTTGTTCTTTCTGTGCTTATCCATGCCCTGCTGGGAGGCAGGCCCTTTCTGATTTGTTACTAGTTCTACTGTCAACATCTGTGCTGATTCATTTATTTATTCAACAAATATTTACCATGCAGCTACTATGTAACACGCAATGAGCCAGGCTAGGAGCCAGGCAACTGGGATCAAATGGAAGAACCCTAGATGTGGAGCATGCAGGTTAGTGAGGAGACACACTTAAAAGGTTAACAGGTGCATAAATACAAAATGTGGTGAGTGCTATAGGAGAATAGAGGTGCAATGAAATAATAGGGGAGACTTATTGATAGGAGTGTCAGGGAAGGCTTCTCTGGAGAGGTAACATTTAAGCCAAGATTTGAAATACAAATAAGAGCAAACCAGCAGGGGAGCAAACTCTAAGGAGGTAAGCCAGTCCAGGTTCCAAGCCCAGGAAACACTATGTGCAAAGGCCCTGAGACTTCAAGGAGCTAAGCATGATCCAGGGGCTCAAAGGTCAGTGTGGTTAAATTCAGATGGGGGGGAGGGTATAGGAACAGAGGTCAAGAGTGAGGCAGTGGCCAGATCTCAAATCCTCTCAGTCAGCCAGCACTGGGTCTTTTGAAACAGACACTAGACACAGTTAATGCGTGATGAGTCCTTGAGTCCAGACTTCTTCCTGAGCCTCCTTGCCTATTCATTCTTGTGCTCCCAGAATCAGGCACTCAATGATCTATGGAGTATTTGAAAGAATGGAGGTGGAAGGGTGCCTGGCTGGCTCAGTCAGTGGAGCATGAGACTCTTGATCAGAGAATTGTGGGTGTGGAGATAACATCCACACATTGGGTGTGGAGATAACGTAAAATCTTGGGGAAAAAAAGGAAAAGGAAAAATGGATGGAGGTGGGAAGGAGGAGGCCAGGGCATGCTGGGGAGACTTTGGCAGGGCACCCAACTTCCCAGAACTTCAGGTAAGATGTGGGCACTGCTAGAAATACCTTTTTGTCTCCCTGTCCTATCTGCTGGTCCCAGCTGTCAGGACCCATCTGAGCTAGCTAAGAAATCCAAAGTCCACTCTCCTGCCAGGCTGATTCTGGCTAAAAACAAGATTGTTTTTTCCTTCCCTGCTGCCCCTGGGAAAACTAGCAGGCTAGGGGTGCCATGGGGGCCAGAGGAGTAACCTTTGCTCCTGCCAGCCTCATTTGCCTCACCTCAGCCAGCCTGCTGGTTTGTAAGTTCTCCTTCTGAGCTGGACAAGCCTGGGCAGGTAACTGAGTGTTGCTGGGTAAGGATAGGGAGAAGGGGAAAGGTACTTCCCTGAGCCAGAAAATCCCCTAGTGGGCCCTGCCAGGGCAGTGCCCTCTCTCACTCGCCAGAAATACACCCTCATGGCCTACTGGGTGCCTGTTCTCCACTGGCTCTGAACACTGGCAAGAGCATAAGGTGGTTTGGATTCCAGCCTGTTTCTTCATCAGTAAAATGGGGCTTGGGCTCCCTAGAGTGGTCCAGACGCAGGCAAAGAGATGAGTACTAGAAATTGTACACTGAGTGCTGGGCCCTTGCTGACCACTGCACGGGTATTAATCCCCTCAGCAGGCCTGGGATTGCCCCACACTGCTACCTCGGGTTCTACAAATGAAACAAAGCTCAAGGCTGCAGTAGCTTATCCAACATCAGTTAGTAAGCAGCAGAGTTGACTCATACCCAGGTCTGTCTGGCACCAAAACCCGCTTACCTTCCAGCATGCCCTGATGCTATCCTGGTGTAACAGGGACAGCAATAACCACTTTCAGAGCCACCTACCTCGTGCTGGGCGCTTTACCCACATCAATTCATGCTTACCGTGCTTTGTTAAGAAGAGGAGCCATTCTTTTTTTTTTTTTTTTTTAAATTTATTTATTCATGAGAGACAGAGAGAGAGAGAGAAGCCGGCTCCCAAGGAGCAGGGAGCCCGATGCGGGACTCGATCCCAGGACCCTGGGATCATGACCTGAGCCGAAGGCAGACGCCTAACCATCTGAGCCACCCAGGTGCCCGAGGAGCCATTCTTAACAGGACCAGAAATCTCCTGGCACTATCAGGGTTTGCAAAAAATGTGGAGCCTGAGTGATCCCGTGTAGCAGAAGACACCCAAACCTGACTTCCCATGTGGACAGGTTACTTCTGCCAAAGCCGAGGCGCCCACCTGGAAGAGGACACTGAGTCTACTACCTGCAGATAGACTAAGCCCAGGGCACTCTAGCCCTCAAAGGCCCCTTAGGGGGTCTTACCGTGCAGGGTTCCCTTCCCTCCCCAAGCATCCGGGTGCCCGTGCCCACCCCCAACCCCCACAATCCTGGGACCCTTCAGGCCCTGTCCACCAGTCTCCCATTATCCTCCCACTCACCAAAGCCAGAACCTCTGGAAGGGTTAGGACCCAGGTAGGGCTTCTCTCCACCCCTCCAGTGTGGCATAGTTCCCTCCATCCAGTGCATTTCCTCTACTGAGGCGCTGGGTTGGTGGGGGGGCACGCCACTAGAATCAGACACACCCAAAACATCTCCTGATTCCCATTGGACCTCTCCACCACCTCTGGACCCCACACTAAGCCTAAAGCCAACAATGGATCAAATGTAGGAAAACCTCCCAATGACCTTTCACCCCAAGCCCCCAGGGCCTGCGTCACTTCCCAGAGGGCACTTTTCTACATTTCCACATTCTACATTAAGATATTTGACAGAAAAAGACACAGCGAGAGAGGGAACACAAGCAGGGGGTGTCGGAGAGAGAGAATCAGGCTCCCCGCTGAGCAGAGAGCCCAGTGCGGGGCTCGATCCCAGGATCCTGGGATCATGACCTGAGCCGAAGGCAGAGCTTAACGACTGAGCCACGCAGGCGTCCCCATCCTTAGGATTTTTGACACACGGTCCCAACACCCCCGCCCCCCCTCCCCAGCCAACTCTTCTGGGGTGTGCTCTCCGCAGTAACGCCGGGTCAAGGCAGGGCAAGAGAAAGGGCTCAAAGAACGGTTGCCCAACGGATGAAACTGGAGCC